GATCATTTCCCTTTGACATGAGGAAGACGGAAAGGAAGCATCAGTGGCCCCCCAAAGAGAACCTAAAGCTTTTATGGATCAGCGAGATTCATGAGCAGGCTGGAAGCCCATGAACTTGAGCTGGAGCCTGAAGTCCATGGGGCAGGTAGTGAGGAAGAGATCAAGTTAGAACCCCACAAAAGTGGATTGAAACCTGTGTCCATTCTTGTTGCCTCTGGCCTTGGAGATGAGGGTATCCTGAAGAAGCCAGGGCCCTTCCTCATGAGCTGAATACATACACACTTGGCCTCAAGAGTCAGAAGAATCCTGAGAGGGCAGGGTGTATAGAGTGACAAAAGGGGATGGTGTTAAGAAGGCTTGAGTCTGAAGGGGAGAGTGGTGTGAGATGGGAGTGGAGGAGTTCTGTAGTCCTACTTCCACTGTCTCACCTCCACCTTCACTCTTTCTCTCCATTTTAGCTTCAGGGAAGGGCTTTCATTTTATCAGACATGTTGGCAGCACCTAATCAAGTTCTTTTAAGGAGTTGAAAGTTAAGGCTGGAAGATATAAATCAGGTGTGTTTTGTATACTGGATTGCAATCCACACATAAGTGCTGTGTTCACCCTTTCCCCCTTTTGAGGGATGATAACCTGTTGCCACTGAGTCGATTCAGACTCATAGCGACCCTGTAGGACAGAGTAGAACTGCCCCATAGTGTTTCCAAAGAGCAGCTGGGGGATTTGAAGTGCCGACCTTTGAAAATACGAGTAATGGAGAGGACTAAATATATCATGCTATATTCTTAGAAACTTGCCAGGGGGTCATGGGCACTTGCTGAAAGGAGACTTGGGTTTCTACTCTGAATGTTCTGGCCTCCTGGCAGCCTCCAGCACGGCCTTTATGGTTCACAAAATATACAGCTGAATTTATAAGGCCTCTTAATAGCTTTAAGGCTAAGCATCCCCATTATTTAAAATGGGCAGATGAAGCCACTGGTTATTTTTTTTAAAAAAAATTAATATTGCCTTTTGTATCAGCTATATTTTTGCTTTCTTGTTTAACACAAAAAAAATGGTTGTATAAGGTCAAGAAACATATTCTTAGTGTTACCAAAAAACATTTATGAGAACGACCTAAAACGCTTACTAATGCAAATGATTCTAGAATATAAAACTTCTTTTTCTGAATATCATAAATGGCTTGTTAATGAGGCTTTATCCTAACAGGTGGCTGAGCATATTTTCTTAAGCTCAGAAGTGCACTTATTTATTAGGAAAACAGATTGCAATAAGGGCCAAATGCTCTATGTGGAATTGCAGGAAGCCAGTGGTGAGCTGGAGCTGATGTCTCCTAAGAGCTGATTGTGTGCATCTCTTCCCAACTCCATGTTCAGTGATATCATGCTGACAACTGGAAATAAGCCATAGTGGGAGTATTTACACCATGGAAATCAACAAATGCTACAGATTTTTTTTCCCCAGTCAGTCATTAAACATACCGGACACCACTGCATTTTCCTTACTGTTCTCTATATATTACTATATTTTGTAATGAATCATTTGAGAATAAGATGCGAACATCATGTCCTATTACCCTGAATACTTCAGTGTGTATTTTCTTAAAACAAGGATATTTTCCTATATAAAAATAAGAAAATTAACCATTTATCCAATATTGCCATCTAAACCACGGTTTTCTTTCAAATGTCTATTTTTCTCCCAGTTATGTCTTTTATAGTTTCAGCGTTCCATCTGGGATCACCCATTCCATTTAGTTGTCATGTCTCTTTAAAACCCACTGCTGTTAAGTCATTCTGACTCATAGTGATGCCACCCTATAGGATAGGGTGGAACTACCTCATAGGGTTTCCAAGGCTGTAACCTTTACAGAAGCAGACTGCCATACCTTTCTTCTGAGGAGCAGCTGGTGGGTTGTAACTGCTGACCTCTTGGTTAGCAGCCAAGTGCTTTAACCACTGCACCACCAGGGCTGCTTCATGTCTTTCTAGTCTCCAATCTAAAACAGTTCCTTAGTCTTTCATAACCTTGACATTTTTTAAGGGTACCAACCAGTTTGTCTGATGTTTCCTCATGATTTCCCCGTTTTGGTAGGAATACCTCAAAAGTGATGCCGTTGTGTTCTTTTCATTGCAATCCTATCAGTAGGCACATGGTGTAAATTTTTTTCTTATCTAGTGATGTTAACTTTTGTCACTTGATTAAGATGGTGTCTGCCAGGCTCCCCCACTGTAAAGCTGATTGATAAGTATTTTATACTTATAATTCAATAAGCAACTAATAAGTATTTTATGGGGAGATACTGTACTTTGAAACTTCTATTGTAGGATAGACCTTCCTCTTTTCCCACATTCATTAATTCATGTATATATATCATTATGGATGTACATACTCATGGATTCCTGTTTTACTCAAAGGCTTACGATCTGTAGTTATCATTAACTACCTGATGTTCAAATTGTCCCAGATTTGGCAATGGGAGTCCCTTCACAGTGACTTTTTTTTTTTTGTCCATTTGTGGTGGCGTAGTGGTTAAGAACTACGGCTGCTAACCAAAATGTCGGCAGTTCGAATCCACCAGGCACTCCTTAGAAACTCTATGGGGCAGTTCTACTCTATAGGGTCACTATGAGTCAGAATTGACTCAATGACAACAGGTTTGGTTTTTTTGGTGGGGCGGTCATCTCCCCACAATTCTTTGAGCATTTCCTTACTTTCTGGTATAAGATTTGTCAGACTCATCTTGTATTTTCTCTGTCCCAGCCCTGGAGTTAACCATTTCCCCAAGAAACTTTGGTTTCTTTTAGTGGAAATATCACTAAAAACCAAGTTCTTGGTGCTAGGTGCATTAATTGGTACTGGAGTCTTGTTGCTTCTAGGTTCTCAAAGCAGACAGAACTAGCAACTATATGTATGCACACACACACACACCTATGTATTTTATTTTTAATAATTTTATTTATTTTGTTGTTGTTGAGAATATACACAGCAGAACATACACAAATTCAACAGCTTCTACATGTACAATTTAGTGACAGTGATTACATTCTTCAAGTTGTGCAACCATTCTTACCCTCTTTTTCTGAGTTGTTCCTCCCACATTAATATCAGCTCACTTCCCCCAAGGTTCCTATCTAATCTTTCAAGTTGCTATTGTCAGTTTGATCCTGTATAGACAGACAGTTCTTTAAAAAGCATAATACTCAAGGCAGGTATTTTTTACTAGTTAAGCTAAACTACAGTTTGGGTTTAAGAAGACTTCAGTGGATACTGGGATATTTTTGTTTTAAGGTTTGAAGATTATCTCAGGGCAATAGTGTCAGGAATTCACTATGGCTCCAGGAAGTCTGGAGTCCATAAGAATTTGAAGTTCTGTTCTGCATTTTCCCCCTTTTGATCAGGATTCTTTGATCAAAATGTTCAGTAATGGTAGCTGGGCACATTCCAGTTCTTCTGGTCTCATGGCAAAGGAAGCAGTTGTTCATGGAGGCAATTAGCTACACATTCTATATCCTCCTCCTATTCCTGACTCTCCCTCCTCTGTTGCTCCAGGTGAACAGAGGCCAATTACTGTGCCTTAGATGGCCACTTGCAAGCTTTTAAGACCCCAGGCACTACAAAACAAACTAGGAAGTAGAACAGAAGCACTAAACACGTTATTAGGCCAATTAACTGGGGTGTCCTATGAAACCATGACTCTAAACCTCCAAACCAAGGAACCAAATGCCATGAGGTGTTTGGTTGTACATAAGCAGCCTCAGCAGCTACTCCTTTTTTGTGTGTGTGTGTCACTGTTGTCATCTATATATTTTATATATACATGTGAGTCAATATAAATGTGTGTGTATACTGTTTATCTTTACATAGTAAAAAACCACATATTTACATTGACATCTCTAATTCCAGTCCACTCCCACAGGGTTATTTTATCATTCTCTTCTTCCCCCTTTCCAGATTTTCTGGATTTACCTTTTTTGACATGGAGAAATGTCTCACCATTCTTAATGAATTTTCTTATCTTTTCAATCCCTCCTGCGTGTAACCAAACTCCTGGGCCCATGAACCAAAAAGCTCAGCCCCTATTGTGCCAGCCCCTCCCCATCCCACTCCAGTCCCCAGTGCTGGGTGCACCCCATGGAAAGCTCAGTCCTGATAAAGGAGAAAAGAAAAAAGGTGAGGGGGAAAAGGCCAGTTAGAAAGCTCAGTCCCAGATTAGTCTCCTCTCCCCTGCCACCCCTCCCTTGCCAAGCTGGGCAAGGAAAGCTTAGCCTCAATTAAGGGGACAGTGAAGCAAGCCATATTCTTTTACTCTAAAACAACATGAGGGAAGATTATACAAGTGGTTTTATTATTATTCCTTTTAAATGAGTTATTTTGGAAACATGGCATTTTTAAAAATCAGATTTTTTTCGTTATCACAGAACTGATGCATTTTAACAGATATAGAGAAGAAATAAAAAAGTAACAGTCACCAATCATTTTCCCATCCACAGATAATCACAACTTTTTGGTGTATCCTTCCCCCGACACCCCAACTCTTTTGGAAAAAGTTCAAACCTACACAAAAGTTGAATGAGTAGTACAATGAACATCTATAAACTATTCACCTAGATTCTTCAAGTGTTAACATTTTCCTTTATCTCTTTTTTCTATATATATATATGTATATATATTTATATATGTATATATATTTTTCATTTACCCATTTCTTTCCCATCTCCACAATGAGTGCCCTGGCTCCCGGCAACATTATATCTACTCATTTGCTCCAACCTACAACGCAAACGAACTTTGGAATTGCCTGTCTCTTTTCCTTAAAGAAAATCACATACCTATGCATAGACAAAGGTCCCTCTCTTCTTTTTCCTGTCTCCTGTGCTGAGGCTTTAGCCGTGGCTGTTTTGGCGAGGAAGCTCCTCCGGTTGGCTCATTTGTTCACTCTAGAAGAGGGAGGGCAACGCCTGGGCTGAGGATTCAGGAAGCTGCCGAGGACCCAGGGCGCCTCACCACAGGCCCAGGGCGGGGTCCGAGGGCTCATAAGGCTGTATCCAGGTGTCACTGACGTCCTCTTCAACGATGCATGTCCCTCTAACGGGCAACGGGCAGATGGTCAGGGGATCCGGGTGTTCGCCGCCATCGTGGGCTCTGGGCCTGAAATACGCGCAGAGCGGCCCTGAGAAGGTGTCGGTGAAGGTGAAGATGTGGGAGCCGTCGGACACGTTGAAGAAGGACAACTTTCCCGCCTCGAAGTCCAGGAAGACGCCCACGCGCCGCGGGGGCAAGCGCAGAGTGAGCGCGACGCGGTGCGGGTCTAACACGAAGTACTCGCAGCCGTTCCACAGCCCCATCACCCAGTAGCCGGAGGCTGGGCTCAGGCGCGCCGGCTCCGCGCGGGGCACCGTTGCCAGGCACGCGCCGAGGAACCAGCGGCTTCGGCGGCCCACGTGCACCTCCCAGTAGTGTCGGCCCGTGGAGAAGCGCTCGCAGCTCAGCACGCACGTCTGCTCAGCAAACCGCTGCGGGTCACCCGCGGCCGGGCCCAGCGCCACCTCGCGGGAGGACACGCTCTTGCCATCCTCGGAGACCACCAGGCTGGGGTGCGCCGAGGCTGGATCCAGGGTCACGTCCACTGCGCAGAGGCATAGGGTTAGTGCCACTGAGGCCTTCTGGCCCTGGCCTGTCCCCTGCCCCCGACAGGCAAACCTCTGTTTTCTCCTAGTGGAGCAATCAGTGGGGTCACCCTCCCCGAAGTGGTGTGTGAGCCATTCCCAAGCGTTCAAAGTGACAAGAGGGCTCCTGTTTCTTCCTGAAATAGGAAAGTTTCTAAACTCCGTACCGGGTGCCCCGGAGGGCAGAGATAACGGGTTGGTTTGTGAGGATGGAGACAGGTGCTTCCCCCTGGAGCCAAGGGGAAGGAGCTTGAGGCTGGTTCTATTCCCAGCTCGGTCCCATCAGCCTCTGTGGTCTTGAGATCATCAGCAGGCTCAGGGCCTCGATTTTACAGAAATTTTAGGATTTTAAAACTGAAGGGGACCTGTGAGCTTATTTAGTTCAGTGCTCTGCACTCCAACACCTCTGCCCCAACACACACCCATTTAATGAACAGGGAACCCGAGGGTCCCTTCTGTCAGATGAAGAAATCGGACTGGATGATCTGAGAAGTTCGTTATAGACTATTCTCTCCTGCAAACAGGCCCAAGAAGTACCCTTCCTGCCAGATAGAAACAAACCTAGTGAAACCAAGAAGGCTGTGTGTATGCACATGTGTAGGTGTGCACATGTTGGTGTGCAAGTGTGTCATGTTGCATGTGTGTAAGTGTGCCTGAGTGTCTGTGTGAGCAGGCCCGTGTGCTTGGCTCCCGGACAGACTCTTTTTCTAATCTCAGATCTTTCCTCTCCACCTCCCTTTTAAGATCCAACCAACCTGAGTCACAAAGCACAGTTTCTCCGCTCAATTACCTGCATATCTTTGGGCTGCTGTCCATTCTGAAACCAAACAGAGATCTGAGTCAATAACTCTGGAACCAGACGGAGGAGAGATTCAAGATTCATAAGGACATCCACAAACTGAATAACCCCATTCCCACCATGACAACTGGTTTGGAGCCACACTGTTGTGGATCCATCACATCGTTTTCCTGGGAATTTGGGATTGGATAGGGAGCTAGGGTCAGTAACAGGTTATGCCAAGGCTGCGTGCAGGCTGAAGTTGTGTCAGGAAAAGCAGATGGAGCTTATGGGCAAAGAAAACCAATATAAGTAGCCTAGATGCTCTGAAGGATGGAAAGAAGGTCTCAGTCTCTGACCTGCCTCGCTCAGTCCCGAGGAAGCTCAGCTGACCATGGCTCCTGTTCTAAGATGTCCTCTAAAGACCATGTCTTCTCTCAATGTGCCTCCTTTTTAACATAAGCCGTTGTGAGTGGATTTGTGTTTTTTCTTGTTTTGTTTTGCAACTGAGACATCACCAAGCAAGTCACAGAATAGCAAAAGCAATAGAAGACATTTTCAGAGCTCCATAAATTTACAGTAGACTTTTTCAACCCTGGTTTTGCATCAGAATAACCAGAAGAACTTAAAAAAAAAAAAAAAAAGTGTTTGCATAGAATAATTCAATTCTATAAAGATGTTGATTCTCCCCAAATTTATCTATAAATTCAAAGAAATTCCATGCAAAACTCCTTTTGGATTTTTTTAAAAAAGAATTTCATAAATTTATCCTCCTTAAAATTTATTTTTAAAAAAAGTCCATTAACTTTAAAAAGGAAGAGGAAATGGGGAAAGATAAATTGTACTTCCAGGTATTATAAAAGCCAAGCAGTATAACCATGAGATAATAAGTGGGCCAATGGACAGACCCATCTATATATGAGAACCAAATATGCACTAATGGTGATAGATACCCCACATCACTGGAGAAATCATGGATGGCACTGGGCAAGCCGACTCACTATCTGGTGAAAAAGTAACTGGATTCTCACCTAACAATACATAAAACAGAGCATTCTAGATGGATTAAAGACCTATGCATCATACATACAAATAGAAGAAAGTGTAGGGGGATATCTTTGTGACCAAAGTGTGTGGAAGGTCTTTTAAACAAAATTTTAAAAACACAAGCTATATAAGGTAAAAAAAATTGATAAATTTTATTTAACCAGAATGATTTCTTTTCAATACAGAGCACCATGGACAAAGCTAGTAGGCAGGCAACAGAAGGAATTTGCAATGTTTAATGCCAACAAAGGAGAGTGTCTGCAATATATATAAGGAACTCCTGTTAGTCAACAAGAAAAAGACAGCAATCCCAATAGAAAAATGGGCAAAGAATATTAACTGGCAATTTTCTGAAGAGGAAGTGCCAGAAGCCAATGAGCATATAAAGAGATGCTCAAACTTCTTAGTGTTCCAAACCAAACCCGTAGCTATTGAGTCAATTCCAAGTCACAGAGGAATGCAAACTAAACAATGAACAATTGCTTATCCCCAGTGAACTGGCAGACTTAGAAAGCTGGCTTATATAAGATGCAGCCATATGGGCTTCTACGCACCGCTGGTGGGAGGATGGATGGCACTGCCTTCTGGGTCCCACTCTCTCCCACCTAGTGGGTGTATCCCCCACAGGCCAGCAATGCCCCTCCTGGGTGGATAGCCCAGAGACTCTCCACACAGGGCAGGCAACAGGTTTAAGGCTATTCATTCAGCATTGTTTGTGGTGCTGTGATGTTAGAGGCACTCTGGATGTCTGCTCTGGAAGGGCAGGGATGGCTAAAATGGAGGGGTCCACAGCAAGAGGGAGAAACCGACCAGATGCACATGTAGGCAGAGTGATGAGTAAAAAAAGTAAGAAACAGCATGAGATTGTAAATATCATTTACATAAACTAAAATGCATGTGCACAAAATAGAAATTCACATTTGTAAGAATATATACAAAATAAAGATACACAGTAGACTGCTTTATGGGGGGAATAGAGGTAGGTATGGGGAAGAAGTATTTACATATATGGGAACATGCCCATCCCAGGCCCAGGTGGACACCAGGAGTCTCAATGATTCTGATGTACGTCCAGGATTTGAACCAAGGATTTACAGTTTGCTCAGACCTCAGAACAATATAAAAATAAAACTCGAGAATAACCTTTACCAAGTGACATAGATTAATGCATGCTGTGTGGAAGGCTGTGGAATGAAATTAGAATGAAATGTGGTTAATCAGAGCAAGTCTGACTGGGCTTTAAATGTGGGATAGTGGGAGGGAAAAGGTGCTTCACTCACCAGCCTGGCCTTCTGCCCTTCTCCAGTCTGCATCAGCCAAGGAAAAACATGGATTAGAACATCAGGAACCCATAGGTTCCCTGCTCACACTTCGTCTTTTGCACCCACCCATTTTCCTCTCCCCTTTCTTTTCCTGTCATCCACACAGCCAGCAGGGTGCCAACCTGGGCATCCTACTTGGTTCGGAGGTGAGAAGAAGATACATGAATAAAAAGCAAAAGGTGGACAAGAAGAAATGAGTCTAAGGGGGTCTGTTTGAAGCTTCCCTGCAAGCAGAACGCAAGAAGAAAGCATCAGCCTTCAAACAAGTGGAACCACCTCCCCAAGGCAGTCACGCCACTGGGAAGAGGTTGCTTAGTCTTAAACCACTGCTAACCGCAATCCCATCCTCACATCCGCATCACCCTGATAAAGGAGGCCCATCTTCAGGATTCTGATGCCTTGTCCTATTGTTTGCTCAAAGGCAGAAATCTGCACAGGCCCAGAAGGGAAAATAGATCTTGGTACGGAGGGGCATCTTTTCACAGCTCGGGTCTAGTTTGAAGAGGTTACACTCCTTTGCCCTTGGAATTACAAACTTTTTCTCAGGAGGAGGTCCTGAATAATTTCAGAGGTAATGCACACAGCCTTTGTGAGCCTCAGGGCCACTTACTAGGTACTATATTTAAAGTACTAGAAGGAAATCTCACTCAATTATTTTCCCTGCCCAGATGCCAAGGACTCTGACATTTTGCCACTGGAAACGCAATCCTCTGGTATCTCCACCCTATGTCCTCTTTTAAAAGTAAATGCTTCTGGGAAAGGCAACATTATACAGTAATTCAGACTATGGTGTTAGTGACTTGCCGTTGCTGTCAAGTTGATTCTGACTCATTACCACCTCAGTGTGCAGAGTAGAACTGCATTCCACAGAGTTTTCAAGGCTGTGACCTTTTGGAAGCAGATCACCAGACCTAGGTGGTTAGTGGTCCAATACTTAACCATTTGCACCACCCAGGGACTCCAAGGAGTTATTACAGCTCTCTTCCCTGCCCCCCCGCCCCACCCCATCCCACACAGGACTAGCTTCCCTAACCTCACAGTTTTGTCTGTAGCATTGCTGGGGCAGGCCAGGTGGTTCTTTTGAGGTCTTTCCCTCATTCATCATGGCCTTCTTCTCTATCCCCCCTTCATTTAGGCTCACACTCTCCACCTCTCCCCTTGTATGTATAAACTCCCACACCCCATAGTAGAGAGTTGTTGAGTTCCCCTGGGGAGAAAAGTGAATCTGATAAATTAGTCCTACTTCGGTGCAAATTAAATGTACCACCCTTCCCAGTGGCCTTTTCATTAAAAAGAGAAAGACATCCTATGAAGCTGAACCAGAGGGAGTAAACGTTTAATGGTGGAATTTTAACTGAGTTAGATAATTTGATGGGGACTACTTGCAGGATCTGTCTGTTATGTGCTGTTGGCTTGATTCTGACTCATAGTGACCCTACAGGACAGAGTAGAAATGCCCCACAGGGTTTCCTAGGCTGTAATCTTTACTGGAAGGAGCCCTGGTGGCTCAATGGCGAAGAGCTTGGCTGCTAACCAAAAGGTTGGTGGTTCCATGAGCCACTTGGCAGGAGAAAGATGTGGCAATCTGCTTCTGTAAAGATTACAGCCTTGGAACCCTACGAGGGCAGTTCTACTCTGTCCTATAGGGTTGCCAGGAGTCGGAAAAGGCAACGGGGAGCAGATCACCATGTCTTTTCTCCCTTGAACCACTGACTTTTCAGTTAACAGATCTGCGCTTAGTCATTGCGCCCCAGGGCTCCTTAGGATCTGTCTAGAGTATCTCAAGTTAGACCTCTTTGGCAGCTGCGCGTGGGTAAGCAGACTGTCCTTTCACTGGTTCGGGAATGGAGAGGTGGGAGGGGAAGGAGGATGGATTTAGGATTAGATCCTTGGGTGCATCTCTCTCCAAAGCGAAGCCTAAAACCACTTAACTCCTCCCACCACCACGCGTGCATGCTGTACACCGCCTGCAGCCAGCACTGTGGGTGTGGCCACCCAGAACTTACCCAGCTCTGCTGTGAGTTTCTCTGGAAGAGAAATGAAGAGAAAAATCTCTCAGGTGGGGAAATGAATCAGATAGGACAGACTGATGAACACTGAGACCTCACTTCCTCAAAGTGCACAGACTCCATCCAGCCTTCGTGCGTTCGCTGGACCCGGGAAGAGAGGGCTCCGAGGTGCGGGAAGGGAAAGGGCGAAACTTTTCTGTCTCACCCACTCTCTGCCCTGCTCCTAGGTCTTCCTGGGCCTGAGGTGCTGCCTTGTTGACCCAGCACCCGCCCCTTGGGTAGTCAGGGATGTGGGGGAAAGGCGTGCCTCTTCCCCTGTTACCTTTTTCCTTCTCTGCCAGCTTCTTTAGCTTCTCTGAAAGGAAGAAGGGGAGAAAAGGTGAGGATGCGCCCTCCCCTGTCTGTTTCCACCTGCCTTCCAGCCCCCCCTCCAGGCAGGATGGCGCCTCCATAAGCTACACCGGGGTCCAGTTTCTGCCACGAAGCCCCTCCTCAGCAAACCCAGTATTAGGAGGGCAATCCCCTGGCCTCCCTCCTACCTTGGTTTCTCCGTTGCTTTTGAAAGAAGTACAACGCCAGTATCATGAGGAGAGCCATGAGCAGCGACAGTCCTGCCAGAGTCCCAAGGAAAGCTCCCTTCCAGGAGGAGGTTCTGGGTAAAAAAACGTCTGGAAAACATCCCAAGGGAGTTGTCTCGATTTAGACACCACTCAGCACTAAGTCACAGTGGTTAAGAGCTATGGCTGCTAACCAAAATGTTAGCAGTTCGAATCCACCACCTGCTCCATGGAAACCCTGTGGGGCACTTCTGCTTTGTCCTATAGGTTTGCTATGAGTTGTCATCCACTCGATGGCAACGGGTTTGGTTTGGTCAGCACTAAGTGACAAGGCTATCCTGGAACCAGGGATGGCTTACCCTATAAGCAAGGTGTGCCTGAGCTTACTCGTGCTTACTAACTAATCCGTAGTGCACAGTTTCACCTGTTTTTACCCCAACAAAGCCCATGTGAAATTGTGCAATACAGATTAGTAAGGAAACACAATTAAGCCCACGTGTACCTTGCTTACTGATTAATCCGCCTGCTGGAAAACATTCCAAGCGGATTTCGTTTGGTCTGTTAAACCTGGGCCTCATCATAGCAATCTGTAAAAAGGGCATCAGAGCGGCTGCTCCACGTGCTCTCCAGGTAGCATAATGTGGAATAGGGACAGACTTGAACTTGCTTAACAGAGGAGCAAAGTGCTGCAAAGCAAAGGATGTGAAAGGCGACAAACTGGTGGGCCCCACTCACTTGCCCCAGCTTAGAACTTCTGTGGCCACAGCCCCTGACCTCCATCTATTTCTGCCCACTCTTGTCCTACACATGAAGGATACTAGAATCCAAGGTGTTTATGTTTGAAGCCTAGTGAATTCCTGCTGTCTACCAGCACTGTTGGGTACAGTGGTTGTCATGGATTGAATTGTGTCTCCCCAAAACTGTGTGTTTCGGTTTGGCTAGGCCATGATTCCCAGTCTTGTGTGGTTGTCCTCTATTTTGTGATTGTAATTTTACGTTAAAGAGGATTAGGGGGGGATTGTAACACCACCCTTACCCAGGTCACATCCCTGATCCAAAGTAAAGGAAGTTTCCCTGGGGTGTGGCCTGCAGGAAGCAAGCAGAGAGTGGGGAACCTCATACCACCAAGAAAACTGTGCTGGGAGCAGAGTGCATCATTTGGACTTGAGGTTCCTGTGCAGAGAAGCTCCCAGACCAAGGGAAGACTGATGCATCACAAGGACCTTTCTCCAGAGCCGACAGAGAAGACAAAGCCCTCCCCTGGAGCTGATGCCTTGAATTTGGACTTCTAGCCTACTGAACTGTGAGAGAATAAATTTCTCTTTGTTAAAACCATCCACTTGTAGTATTTCTGTTAGAGCAGCACTAGATGACGAAGACAGTGCTTAAGAGCTCTGCTGCTAACTAAAAGGTTGGCAGTTTGAATCCACGAGCTGCTCCTTGGAAACCCTATGAGGCAGTTCTACTCTGTCCTACAGGGTCGCTATGAGTCAGAAACCACTCATGGCAACGGGTACCAGCACTATGGAATCCACTAGTCACCGCACTTTGTTGCAAACACTTGGCTTCTACCTCTCTTCTCACCACACCTTTGGAAAAACTGATAACACAGCCACAGGTGTAGTGACCACAGTTGCCCTCCTCCATCTCCAGGCTCCCTATGGAGGTTCTGCCCTCAGGCAGGATGTGGCCAAGCAGAGCAGATAATGAAGAGATACGTACAAAAATGGAGAGCAAGCCTATAGAAGCTCTTGTGGCAATCTGATAGAGCAATTTTTTGTCTGTTGAATCCAATTATTAAAAATGGGGTTTTTATCTCAGTGATCTTTGGTTTTTTATTTTCATTTTTTAAAATAATGCATTTTTACTGTATTGCACGAAAGTATTGAACCACAATAGATTGATTGGTCCTTTGCCACAGATGGTTTGCCAAACACTGGCCTGCCCATGCCCATTGCTATCAAGTCAATTCCGACTTATAGCGACCCTATAGGACAGGGTAGAACTGCCCCATAGGATTTCCAAGGAGCACCTGGTGGATTTGAACTGCTGACCTTTTGGTTAGCAGCCATAGCTCTTAGCCATTACACTGCCAGGGTTTCCAGCACTGGCCTAGGGGTTAAGAATAAGGGCTCCAGGCTCCATTGCCTCCCTGAGCTCATCATCATCACCCTCCACCTTGGCCCTTTGCTCCTGCCTCTTTGACCTTCTTGCTGCTTGTCCAACACATCTTCTGTTAGGATAAATACAAACCTAAAAAGAAAAGAAATTGAATGTTCCCTGGTGCAAAAGGGAAAGAGACTCCTCTGCCTTTTCTTACAGCATTTCCTTTAGAAAACTTGTCCTTGTAAATTTTTCTCTTTCCCTTTGAAGTGGATGTAAATCTTTTTAAGCCTCTTGTCCAGTTTTACAACCCAGGAATGTTTTCTTCAAGACCTCAGAGCCATCTCTTTGAAATGTAAACATCAAGAAAGATAGTGCCCTTCCTGTCTCATGGGACTTTAACTTGGGCCCCTGGCTCCAAGTTGTAGCTACCTGCTTGTCATAGAGATAGTGTAATAGATTATATCTTCCTGACTGTATAAAAGGGTGAGGTTTCTTTTTATCATAATATTGTAACCATTGATTTGGACCGATGTGAAAAATGACTCACAGGTTGGGTTTGCCCTCAAGACTTAAAACAATTAGAATGACTTCCGGCAACATGGTGCTCTAGGCAAAAACACTACACCTTCCCTCCACAGCAAAGATCTGAAAAACTAAGCCAAATAGAGAAAACAGCAATCCTGAAACCCTAAACATCAAATGAAGAGATAAAGAACTCAGCCAAGCACCAAATGGAATAAGAAACTGACAGAGAACAGAGAGCGAAGAGACATACATGTAGAGGTCCCCTATCAGCTAAAGCAGCACGGATCCGCCATCTTGGACTCCTATCAGAGACCAGTGAACAGGGGGTATGAGAAAGCAGCTTCATGGAGCTTCCAACAGGAGACAGAACAACTGGTAACCAGAGATATACGCTTTCCCACCCCCCACACTTCTTCACCCCCACTTGGCCTCCTCTGCTTCCTGCGGCCAGTTTCTTGGCCAGGAAGCACCGGCTGCTTGGATTCCACCCGCCCGCACTGGCCGACTCCCTGAGTGCCATTTGTTGCTGCTGGTGTTGCTTTTTTTCCACTTCTTTAGATTTCTTCCTTACCTCTCACCACCTCCCCCTCCTTTTGCTCAAATACCTGGCTCTGTGCACCATCTTTGCTTCTTCCTGAGGGTCTGTGGAGCTCTGGTTGAGTGTGAAACTGCTTCCTGGTCCATGCTGCCACACTGGTAGGATCCCGGGGCTTTTTGTTTGTTTGTTTTGACTTGTTTGTTTGTTTTCTTTTTCTTTTCTCAAATTGGGAGCCCGTTCTAGCCGGGCAGTACTGCACGGCTTGGGACCTACCCCTCAGCTTGCGCAGATGCACAGAGGGATCCCTGAGAGCATTTCTTTTTATATGTTTTTTTTTTTTTCTGTTTTTTTGGGGGGGTTCTTGTTCTTTTTTTTTTTAATTTGTTTTGTTTTCTTTTCCCTTTTTGACTTTCTTCATTACTCAGTTTCTCATCTCTCTATACCTTCCTTCTCTTCCTGTCCCCTGAATACCTGGCACTGAATACCTCTACGTCTTCTAGCCAGGCTGCATTTCGACACCTGGGAACAACTTCCCCAGACCTTGTAGTCACACCTGTAGGATCCCTGGGATCTTTTCTTTTCTTTTTTCTTTCTAATTTTTATTTATTCATTATTTTCTTGTCTTTTCTTTTTTTACTTCTTCTTCCTCTTTTTGTTTTTCTCCATTTCATAGTCTCTCATCTCTCCACTCCAATGGCAAGCTCCCCTAGCACTCTTTTTTGTTTGTTTGTATGTTTTTGACCCCTGTTCCTCTCTCCTCTTTCCCATACCCATCTTAGCTCTACACATCACAATCTCCCTCTTCCATCCTGCATGGTATGCTT